AGAAAATTATGTCGCATAAACGCAAAAAATCTCATCTATCGACGAGATAGCTCACACAAGGTGCTAACTCGAAACTCATAGAGAGAAAATTCCTAGAGTCATAACCAAACACTAGAATTCAAATTATAACAAAGGTGGATAGTCCTAAGCCCCAATAATTAAAACAACCAAAACTCATACCACGAGTTGGCGCGGCGAGACGAAAGCGAGTGGTCGAAGGGTCATTAAACACACCAACATTCGAATTAGTCTACAGAAACGCAGACTAGCTCTGATACCATACTGTAACGCCCCGTTTTATTTTAAAGAATTTACTGAATTTCTTTATAAAAATCAGAGTTTATTTTTCGCAAAATCCCAATTAAAACTTTAACAGTCAACGGGCGCTACTTAAACAACTAAAACAAATACACATTTACACAGATAAAATTTAACAGTTCAAAATGAAATTCCAATTATTCATAATCCTCAAACCCAGTCATGCATAATTAAATACTTCAACGGAAAATCCAAGGTCTAACCAACATGTCCAAGGTAATTAAAGCGGAAGCACCATTATTCAAAGTTAAACAAATGATATATCGAGATAATAAAAGCGGAAGCAAGTAACACACAATCCAACGACCACCACTCGATCGTCTCTCATTGCCGCCGCCAACCATGCTCAACCTAAAAGGATAGGAAGAGGAACAAGAGAACAGAAAAGTAAATGGGGGTGAGTACAACCATCATACTCACCATTACCGCACAGTGTATTTCGCATAAAGATCCATAACCATAAATAATGTATGCATAGAATCCAGATCTAACTCCCTATTAGGCCCTATCGCAAACCTCCTATGTACATACAACAAACCTCCCGACCAGACATCGGCGAGGATGTAACTGGAAGCACTCCCACCCCAGATGCAACGAGCGTAGGATCTTACCAGGAGACAGTGAAGTTGAATTACCCCTCCGCTCTACACGGATTCGGGCGTTCAGACAATCCCCTCCGCTCTACACGGATTCGGGCGCCCACCTCCCGGATACAACGGGCAGGTGACTTCCACTGATTATGCATTCGTCAAAGGCACTACCATCAGGATACTTAGACTAGGGTTCTCACGCATACAAAAACTATCGCGACAAACATTTATATGAAATAACAAGTGCGATAAATGTAGATTCAACATAAATGAACCCACCTGGTAGCGATCGAGTCAAACACACAAGAATAGTAGTCGGCGAGGTCGACTCGTCAAACACCCACATTTATTAAAATAGCCTTATTAAAGACTATTCGACAATTTACTTAGTTCAACTAAGTCCACGTAAGCATTCAAGCATGCATTAGATGAATCCATATAAGTTTTGAAAAAATTAACCCGGGCAGCGTTTTTAAAAATCGACATAACTTTCAGCACACAACTCGTATGAACATCAATCAAATTGCATTGGAATCCTAATAGATAAATCTACAATTCTTATGAAGACACTGTAGGCAAATGAGGTCATTTAACCGGTGATAATCCAACAAACATCAAAATTTGAGTCACAGTCCAAAACTGGAAAAATACACTTGACCAGACTTCAGTAATTTCTATTTAACTGGAGCTACAGTCATGCTTTTAATGAATTTCAAAAAACTACATGATAGATAATTCAAATGTCTACAACTTTGCTGAAGATCATATTGGCAAATAATCACATTAACCATGAGTTTAAACACAAGACATGTGATTCAGTAAATCTGTCAAAACAAGTATAATGAACCTGGACAACACCTCAGTTTTTAACATTTATCTTGAGCTACAGACCTCCAAATAATATGGTTCAAGTCTCAAATTAAATATTAGGAATTTATCTACAACTTTCATTTAGAACACCAAAACATATGAGCTCATTTGAATGGTCAAAAAGCTGTTAATATTCAGATCCATATTTCTGCCAACAGGATAATTCCTAACTCATGCATATCTATCTTCATAAAATCATAACTCGAGCTACAGAGTACGTATCGACAAGAAATCTATCTCATTTGAAAGGCAAGAAATATATCTATAACTTCCATTAAGAGTGTAATTTCATACGAGCACATTACGATATGATAAACAGGTCACACATTAATTACAGATATGCTGCCGGGTAGCAAGAAAACTGAACGCGCAATATTTTTGTAAAAATCATAACTTTATCGATATAGATCGGAATCGAGAAATTCCAAAGCCCAGGTTTAGAAAACTGAACATACTACATTTCATGTGAATACCACATTTTCAAATAACCAGTCTCAGATAGCTTAAAATGCGGCACAACAGATCAGCGAAAAACGTATTTTCACATAAAATACCAACGAATAAAAACGGATGGTTCGAAACTCGACTACGATCAATATACTTTCTCGATAGCAAATAAACGAGCACATTGAGGTTCAACACAGCAACAACATGATATTCGGTTTAACAAGGTTACGAGCATAACACGATATACGAAACGACATATATGAGCCGATAATAATTCTAACCAAAATCCGACTTCAAACAAATAATCGGTAATACGTATATGTAATATACGAACACGACCAGAATAACGAGAGGCTTCGAATAAGTTACCCGCTTTCGAAAATTTACGAGCTAACGGAGGAAAAACGGGCCGAACGACGGCTCGGCCGAACGGGACTCGGAAAAATGAAACGAAAAGAGACGAACGGCATGTCGGCTCGACAGCTCGGCCGAACGTTAGCTTCACGCCGGCAGCATCTCGCCGGCAGAGGTCGCCAGAAGATGGTCGGGGTTGCTGCTCGGATGGAGGGACGCCGGAAATGGAAAACTCGTCGGAGAAGGCTCGCTCGCGACGGAGGTGCTGGGCGGAGGGGAGAACTCGCCGGAATTTGCTGCTATAGCTGTGGAGGAGAGCTCGCCGGTGGTGATGATGAGGCGCGACGATGCAGACTCGTCGGAAGGAGTTGCAGAGAAATCTCGTCGCCGGAGCTCGCGGACAGCTCGCCGGTAACGATAGTGATGGGGGATGGCGACGGAACTTGAGAGAGAAGAGATGGGAACGGGATCGGATGATGATGGTGATGAAAAATGATTTGCAGAGAGGATTTAAGGAGAACAAACATGTGTTGCCGCAACTCACGGATCAAGAATCTTGCTATTATTGAAGATGTTCATGTGAGGGAGATAGATACGTGTTTGTATCTATAGGTAATAATGTTGACTTTCCTTTCAATCAAAATAAAAATCCCACATACAAACACAACAAATGAGAAAATCGGATTCTTGGGCTGGTTAAGCTCGGGCCGGTTTGGATCACGCGGGTATACTCGGACTCAATTAATCGCACGATAAAAACCTAGAAATATTTATTTAATACATACATCATTTTAAAATAATAATATTAATAATAATAATCTCAATTAATCCGTAAATAACGGGTTTACGAATCGGCTGGTTTCAACTACTGATTTATCGGGCTCAATCTCATAAACTCCGAATAATCATAATGCTCGGAAAAATAAAATATGACGACTCGTAAATCTTTTAAATTCACAAAATCAACATAATATATATTCATTAGCGTACACTAATAAATACATCATCAAGTAATTATTTCTCTCTGGCAGATTAATAATAATACTGTTCGACTCGATATTAAAATTAATACAATTAACAATTATGAGCACATAACCGAAATAGAATTATCGAGCTCGAATAAATAATTTCAGAATAAAATAAAATAAATAATAATAAAAATCCTCAATTAAATCCGGAACAAATGGGGCGCTACAATATCCCTTTATACGATTGTGCTAGCAACCAAAAGGATAAATCAAAGTAAAATATAATATGCACAAAGTTACCATCGTGCCTCAAGTCTAAGGATTAGTCATGTACTATTGTAACATGAAAATTCTTATTCGACATGATAAACTTTCATTAAGAATTTTCATACGGTCATGTTCAGTGAACTTGTTCTCTAACAAGCACCCACATATATGTATTTGCGTCCCACGCTAATGTTGATGGAATGAAACATTTTTGTCCAACAAGTATACATCATATGTGCAAGTCTTTTCCGGATTTATTCGATATCCCATCTCGAAACATCCAACGACTTGGAACTGTATTTAAGATCATAACTTTCAAGGTATGTTCCATGATCACCATCTTTATGCGCAACCATACCTTATAGCTATATGTGATCTACGGATTTTATCTTAAGTGCAAATATAGGATAAATGCTTACACTTAAAATAAAGTAATGACTTTTAATTAATATAATTCCAATAGATTGTATTTACAAGTAGAATACGTCCAATCTGATTGAAACGCCGGGTATCCTACTCTAACAGCCCTAACATCGTTTGCTTGGGCAGTCCGTGAGATGGATTCTGTACTTTGGGACTTGTCCGTCCTTTGGGCTTAAATTTGCACGTGGCCCTGCTTTCTTTTTTTAATCGAATATTTTTGGGTGTAACACCATCTTTCATATTCTGAGAACTGACTTGATTCGTTGGAGGTCTACAGTCGGGAACACTCCCGACGTGTTTTACACGATATTCCGAAGATCAAATCAGTTCGAGGTCAATTGAAGGCCGATACGAAGAGGAATTGCACATTATAATGAATAACAAATTTATATTGAAAAATATATAGTATGATTGATTTTATTATATAATTGTATTAGTTGAACTTGAAGAGTGGAAAAATAGGAATAAAGAAATATTTTTTTGAATAAAAATTATAGTAATTATAGTTTTAACGATAAAAAAAATATCTGACGAGATGAAAATAAAAATAATTTATACATAATAACTTCATACAACAATTTTATTATTACACAAATAAAAGGCATTTCATAGTTTACGAATAAGGCTTCGTTCTCTAACAATATTCAGAAGATATTTTAGCGATCCCAATAAAAGAGAAAATTAAAAGAAAAGGAGAGGCCAAATGATTTTTCTAGCCAAAGATTTTTATAATTACCTCTGATTTACTAAATTAGGCGAATGACTCACATTTTGCCTCAACCGCAACAAATTACCTACCCATAAGGCCAATATAAAAATATCAAACCTGTAAAGGATCATCACCACAAGCATTTCCTTAGGATACCTAACATCCCAACCGCCAATCGCCAAAGCCCTAGATACATTCCCTGATGTTCGTTTTCATTGACCCATCCTCGTTATCATCGGACCTGTGAGAGAGTTTTCATACGAATTCTCTGCGACGATATGGCTAAACGGTATGTTCTTTCTTAAATTCTAATATTTTTTTCTGTTATTTTTCCTTCTTTTTCCGATTTTATCGGATTTCAGAATTATGGAATTGTTAAGTTTCTATTTTATTATTTTTTTTTCTAGATTTTTACGTGGTGAAATCCTATTTACATTCATTTTTTGGTGATCAGATGAATTTTTTATTTTTTCGAAAAAAATTCTCTTCCTGCAATGCAATCAATTCTTAAATATTTTAATTGTAGGTAAGTGAAATAGGTGGAGGCAAAAAATGTGTTGTTGTATGACCGCGAAATGACTGTAATTACAAACAAGCAAAGCATTGCCTTTTGTTTCACAGTTGCAAAGGGAGGAGAAATTTATCATAATTAGTTGTATTCTTTTTCTCCTATATATAGGATGATCTACATTAACAAGCATTACTCGTAAAAAATTGACCGATTCTACATATTGGCGCAAGATCAAACCAAGCCGAACAAATCATTATTCAGGCTAGACTGGAACCTGTTAATCGGGGTTTGCTAGAAGTTTTAGTTATCATTAAATGTCCTAGGCGAAGCTGTAGTTGAGCTTTATATGCGTCAATTGTGTAGCTTGATGCTTTTTTCACAAATTTGATATTTTCTAGTTTAGTCATTTGGTTTTGAGATGTGCTGTAAAACTTATTCATTGACATTTATAGAAATTCTATGGTCTCTTTTAGTACCATGACTACTCAGACCTCTTGTTTAGAGCAGACGATGAAGGTTGTTTTTCCAACACATTAAAGAAAACTAACGGATACTGAATTTAATGTTAAAACTTTTACCATACGGAGATCAGCACAGACATTCCATTAGGCTGAAAAGGGTCCTCTTATCATGGAACCCGTAAAACTTCATTCCCACCTTTTCCTTCTTTCTACATTCTACATCCACTCTTGTTTGCATAACACATAACAATTTATAAAAATCCATTTTCAAACGATTTCAATTCCTCTAGAGTCCTCTGCAAATTCTTTCCGCACGGTGCTTGCCTAAAAGGGGAACACTGCGAGTACTCTCATGACTGGAAGCCCCCACCGAACAACGTAATCCTTCATCGCCCAACAATCCTAATTCCAAGCAATAGTACATTGACCCAATGTAATGAATGACTTGTTCATCTTCTTCCTCTGCAGATTTGCACGTATTACCAAAAAGGAATCTGTGCTTACGGAAGCCGATGCAAGTACAACCACATCAAATCGCCACTATCTTCCTACGGAGACCTTTCATCCACCGAAGAGCCTCTTTCCAGCACCACCACAGAACAGTCACATCTAAACGGACCATTTTACCCTCCACCAGTCCACAACGACCGGTGCCCGGTTTGCAGGAGATGGTGCCTCCACTCGGATAGGCCATGGGAGAGGGACGAGCACGTGAGGGCTTGCGAGGGAAAACGGAGACGGGCAGAAGCAATGAGAAGGAGCCGAGAGGTGGAGTGCAATGTGTGCATGGAGTTTGTGCTTTCAAAGCCGGTGGCAGCTGAACGGAGGTTCGGGATACTTTTGGAGTGCGATCACTCGTTCTGCATCACGTGCATACGTAGCTGGAGGAGCAGCACTCCCGTGCCGGGGATAGATGCCAGCTCAGCATCGAGGTCGTGCCCGGTTTGTCGAAGGCTGTCATATTTTGTGGTCCCGAGTTTTGTATGGTATTCGTCGATGGAGGAGAAGAAAGAAATTGTCGACAGCTACAAGGCCAGGCTGAGGTGCGGTTGACAGTTGCCCTCTCTGTATATTGTCTCTCTGTTTCACTCTCTAGTCTGGTTAGGAATTGATTGTCCTTCTTTTTTAGGTGTATTGATTGCAAGCACTTTGACTTTGGAGACGGGTGTTGCCCTTTCGGTGCAAGTTGTTTTTATAAGGTTTGTCTTTCTCTGTTTCACAGTACTGTTATGATTATTTCCTGTATAAATTAAAATTTGTTGTGTGTTTTAACTTTGCTATAACTTGAATGTTTTAGATTCGATAGGTAAAATGTTATGATAGATAGGATATAACATTTTGAGATGAAAAACGCTTGATTATGGGTGACACGCCAATAGGCACTAACCCTTTTAGTTCGACAGGACTCAATTGAAAATAGGAAAGTTTAAACTCTCTGTAATATATGATTTTTGTTTGGGGTTTCAGAGCAAATGCATGCAGCAAAGAGGACTATAGGTTGTAAATATGAATATCGGATTGTGAATAGATGAAGTTGTACGAACCAAATGGATATTAGCTAACTGTTCCTAAAATTTCCATTCCTTACATTGATGATCTTGAAACACTTCCTTCACATATGCATTTGTTTATTTACAGTTATAAAAAGGAAAGAAGATACAATTATTATGAGCTATATTCTTTACAGCATGCATATCGGGATGGCAGTCTTGAGGAAGTGGTTCTTGCACACCTTGGATATGATGAAGAAGATACAGTCATTGCCAAAGAGCTTAGGTGCTCTTTCCTTTTCCCAAAAGTTCTCGACAGTATTTTGTTGTGCCCCTTTAACCTAACATTCAGGTTTCATGTTCTAATGTGTTGATATATACTTTCAGACTCACAGAATTTCTCAACGAGTTGAGGCTCTGATGATATGATACCTCTTTAGTGACATTATCGAGTGCTCAGGTGTGACGTTTCTTCCTCCACACTCTTAACTTACAGATTATTGCATGTTCTTGTTTTTGCGGAATTCTGTTCCTGCATGATTTTGATAAATGGTACCTTAGTCATAATTGCAATGCTTGTTGACCAGCTTGAGCCTGACTTTTATATTTATACCATCTGTTTTTCGTTGATACTTAAATCTGAATATTGTATAATGTGCTTCGTATAATTGCTAAAATGTAATCGTATGATTTTGCCAGCGTCAACGTCATCATGTTTTTAAGATCCATTATACATGTCTTGTGGGATTTTATTTTTTTCAACTACAATGATCCGACTTTCATGGTTTACCACATGGACTATGTCTCTTTTTTATTTAATTTACGAACTTATGATCTATGCAGGCTTTTCTGCTAGCAGACTGTATATCCAGCTAAAATATCAAAAGAATGTCAAGAGTGCTTCTACTTAAGGTCAGGTTATCGTTTCGCATCCAACCATCGTCTTTGATTTGTTTGTGATTAGGGTTGCAAACGAACCAAGCTGATCGCGAGCGCTCGAGTCAAAGCTCAACTCTAGCGGCTCGAGCACGAACTCGAGTTGAGCTCGAGCTCATATTTTGCATTGTCGAGCGGCTCGTCGAGCGGCTCGAGATACATGTTAAATTACTAAAATACCCCTTATATATATTAACATAGGTGCTTAATGGTAATTTTAAAATTTTCGAGCCGAGCTCGAGCATTTTGATTCCAAGGCTCGAGCTTGAGCTATTGTAATTTTTTATCGAGTCGAGCTCGAGCCTCAAAAATCGAGCTCGAGCAGCTAAAAAAATCAATCCTGCTCGAAAGGCCGACGCTCGACTCGGCTCGACTCGTTTGCAGCCCTATTTGTGATGTTGCAATTATTTTTTTTCCCCAATAAAAATGTAGTTCCGTGGTTGTAGCTGAAATATTATTTTCATTGCTGGATCTTTTGGTAGCTTGATTGATCATGTTTCAGTTTCAAGGATACTAAATATATTTCTTGGTAATGTTTGCTAAACAATCAATTTCGGTAGCATGACAAAATGAGGTTGATAATATATTTTGTTGATGGGAAGAGAGTGATTAGGACCAAAATAGTGAAACAACAATAATGAAAAATAGAAAGGTGTGAAGTTTCTAATATGGATTCAGCACCAAAAGAAACTTTATCGTTGCTACGGAAAATCTTCATTTTAGATATTAATAAACATATTTTGTATTCATTTTCAGGTGCAATAGTGTTATTCCCTTTAGTGCCCAACATTGAACTCCAGTACTCAAAAAGTTGAGGCAACTCATCCCCATCTTGTGAAAAAATAAAATGTAACTTTTGCCCAAATATGAAAAGAGTGGAACAGCAATTACGCACGCATTATGGCCAATCTATGGACCTGGGTGAACATAGGATTTCCTTAGTCTGCAATTTATATTGGCTTGTGCTATGTTTAACGCTGTTTTGAAACTGCTTTCGCTAATGTTACGGTATGATGTATGTACTATGGTGATTGTAAAAGGGGCTATGATCAATTTTTCCCGTTAAACATAGAACCCCATTATTTTGGAAGTTATATGGAATGATTTTTTCATAGAATTGAACTTGAGACTTGTTTAAGTGCCCCGTTTTCATGTTCCTTTCCAATTTTATTTTACTTTTATATTTTGGATTTAAACAACCAGCTAAGATTATTGGTTCGGGACCCGGAGTGTTCAATATTCTGGCTATTTCTTAGGCTCTGCCAACCTTCTCTAGCTTTTAACCAATCTCCTTGGGATCTATGAAGATCACGACGTAGCGGAACTAGAAGCGAGGATTCAAAGCGTACCTTTTTAATTTTTGCGGACTCATTTGATCATTCTCCAATCATTTTGGATCGTCCCAGACTTGTCCCGAACTCACCGGATCGACCCGAACCCGCTGGACCGCTCCTGAACACGTTGGACCGCTCTCAATCGGTTCTGGATCGAGCTGGCGCGTCCTGGTAGGCTGTCCATGGCGTTGGGCCGCATCTAGAGACGTCTGGGCCGCACAGGACGTCATTTCGGCCGCGGCTGGACTTCATTGGGCCGAAGGAACGATGCTGGTGGGTTGGGCACGCCGCGGGCTGGCTTCGGGCCTCGCGGGCCGGGGCTATGAGGGAACGGGAGCGCGGGCCGTACGCGGGCTGGACACAGGCTCTCACGCGGTATTGGGCCTCTTCCCACGCGTTGGGCCTTCCTCGCGTTGGGCTTGAGCAGAAACTCCCAGCGGGCTGGGCTCTGCACATGGATAGGCTGGGCTGCCTCCACTGGATCACGCGGCCATCTCCTTGATGCTGGGCTGCGCGTGGAACTTCGACAGGTGGACTATAGCGGCGTGTGGGCTGCCGGGACGGCGGTGGCTGGCGGCGGCTGGTCTCCGGAATTACACCGGTCGTCGTGGGATGGTCGCCAGGGGTCGCTGGGCACTCCAATATATCCGATTTGTGTAGATCTGTCTTTTTCGTGTTGAACGGACAACTCCGCGAATTACAGATAAATTACGGGGATTAATATATATATATATATATATTACGGGGTTCGGATAAATATATATAAAGCGCTCGACTCAGATCTTCTGTTGTATTACCCGACATCTCATCCGATCATCCGATCATCGGCCATAAATTACGGGGTTGGGATAAATATATATAAATCGCTCGACTCAGATCTTCTGTTGTATTACCCGACATCTCATCCGATCATCCGATCATCGGCCATAGATCGGAGATATCTCTACTGGGATTACTTGGAGAAGAAGAGAACAAGAGAGAGAAGAGAGACAGAGGCGGTGTCTCTTTCTAGCGTGCGTGTGTTTCTGTCTGTGCAAGACTTCTTACCTAATCTCAAGAGATGTGATGTATTTATAGGCTACAACAGGACCTAAGGAGGTATTAAATTGGGCTTCTCCTATTTGGATTAGACTATAGGCCAAGCCTACCAAACCAAATAGGAATAATACAGTCACTCCACTAAAGTAGTATTATTGAATAAACTCCCAATTTAATTACCAAATTATATTCGAGTCTCCAATAATAATTACTCGATTTACCTCTCCATGTTTAAGATATAATGTCCATCAATTAATGTAATTAGTGACAATTAAATTAATCGACATCTATAACCGAGACTAGTACCACTCATCACATTCTTATTATGTCGGAATAAATTCCACTGGTCAAATTTAACATAATAATCCATCATGAGCTCATCTCGGGGACACCATCAAACTAATGCACACGGTGGCCGTAAATATTCTAACAGCACACCATACATACAATAATATTACCCACAACATTAAGTATATTGATCCAGTAAACTCAATCTCACCCATGTGAATCAAAGTAATATTGCACATGCTTGTTTATATCTTACGGGTTAAGAGTACGCAGTAATTAACCAAGGCCTAGTTCGTTTACGACAGTCAATATAAAACTAACTTCTCCTCTCTGGGATCCGTTCAATACACAAAGTGTACTAGTGTAACTAATCAGTCAAGACCAACTGTACGGTTAACACTACAATGGTTGTGAACCACAATTCTTGTTTCGCAAGTAAATGATAAAATGATCTTCTGTTCGCCCGCTAACGACTCATTCTATCTAAGTGCAAAACAACAGAACATAGACTGTTTCATTAAACATGATTCTCATTCAAACGGGTTAAGTGTAAATATATCTAAAGCCAAGATTTCAGATATACACCAACATCTCCAAATTGTCCTTGTAGGGAATTTGCAGCAATGTCCTCCATCTTTTTTGAACAAGCTCTATCCATGTGTCCTATTTCTCCGTATGATGGAGATAAGGATGTTTAGAATCTTTAATTTAATTATTTGTTCCCTCTTTATTATTATGATTATTAGTGGTATTATAGATTTGTTAGGAAACTTATTTATTTATTACTTTATTAGGATTCTTGCCTAGTTGGACAAGTTAATATTAGGGTTGTAGGAGCCTTATTTAAAGAACTCCTCCTCTTTTGTGTTATTCAGTTGATTATGTAAATGAAAATATGATTTGATTTTTAGTTTTTTCGAGAGATTATCTCTTTTATCGTTCCCACTCGTACGCTTCCCTACATCACCATAGTCATAAGTTCACCAATTACTCATATTTGAAGCTTACCATAACTTTTTTATTCTGCAATCTAATATTAAGCACAAGGCTTCTTTAAGTTTACAGTCACAAACAACCTTAGATTTAATCGTCAATTGCATTAACACATCTACTGTCAAAATAAAACCTCTTCCTAACTTTTTTTACATACAGTCACATGTGAACTATTGGGAAGTGGTGCCTTGTTGATGGGAAATATCTTTAACCAAGTATTTAATCAAATTTCTAGTCATATGCATATTTGTCTTGTTGGCACTCAAATATTATTAGAAAGCATCCAATAGTTCAAAATATATGAAATCTGAAGTTATTGGTAAAGGTGTGTGGTTTTCTATGTAGTTATATTGTGAAATTTTAGTTCATCGCCGTAGTGAAATCGTGGCAAGTTCATATGTGGCTATTCGGTAATCAAGGAGTCATATGAACGTCTTATGGATTGTTCATAGAATAAAGGGAAATGTTACATTGCCAACCTAGTGTACAACTAGGTTGATAACACAAGTAAGAACACCCACACAAATAAAAAATAAATAAATACACATGTGGATATTTTCTACTTGTGTTGTCAACTTAGTTGTACATTAGGTTGTCTATCTATCATTTTTCTAGAACAAAATACTATAACGTATTCGTTATGTGAAATGAGCTTTAGGTTCTTTATACAATCGATTTTGCTATGAAGCCATCGGATGGTTCGACTTATAGAGTCATCCATAGTTATTCACATATGTCAGTACATAAAGTTATGGATGACTCTATAGAATTTTTGAACAACCCTATATATATAAATTTATTTGTCGTATTTCACATGTAACAATAACTTGTTTCATTGACTTTATATTGAGTATCGACTGTCATGATGAAACAACTTGCCATTCAAATTCAAACTCAAAATATTTCAGGTTTGTACTTCAATATAGACTGGTGCGAAGCACATAAAGCTGAAAGATATCCGTCCAATAGTTGATCTAGCTGCACATAAATTAAAAGAAAGAGATATTTTACACATTGCACAAAACAAACACACAAATTTAGATGTTTAAGTTTGTGCTTTTATTAATACAATTTGCCGTTGAAAAAAATATATTTTATGCTTTTAGTAAACTTTTTTTATGTAACAGGATTTGATTATAATTTTTTTTAGAAGTTACTTTTCTAAATGCCAGTGGTGGGTTGTTTTAGCCTAGACTAGTGGTTCCAAGTGCGATATACCCAAGTCATTTTGAGACTTTATAAAATTTAAAACATTAAAATTTTCAGATTTAAGATGAATTATGTGAAATTTTGAGTCTAAATATGGGATTTAGTGTTAGATCTTTCAATGTCTTTTTAGAATGTATGTAGTACCTTTACTCATAACTGCGACAAATTTTGTACTACTTCGAGATTTTGTAAGACTTTTTAAAATCTCAAATAAATATCTCAAGATTTTTTAAAGTATTAAAAAGACTAAATTAAATACATTAAGATTTCTGAAATCTTAAATTTATTTTTATAACTCCCAAACGAATATAATTCATAAAATCCGAGATTGACAGCCTCGGTACCAAATCAATTAATTTGAGGTAATCCTATGTTTGATTCCCGCTTCCCTTTCATAACCTCCAAAAATTTGTAATATGTTGTTTTCATGCTATATCTATTATTTATTTTATTTTATCATGAAAAGTTTCTCCATTCACATTTCATTGAAATTTTTACTAATTATTTGTATAACAAAATAGAAACCAACATCAAAAACTTACTAAAGGAAGAGTAATAAGTTAAACTCACGGGGATAATGGGGAATGATTTCTCCAAACGTTTTGTTGCATCTTTTGGTTTCGCCAAAGCTTTTGTGGAGTAGAAAAGATGCTTGAGATCGAGTTCTTGTAACCATATTTGAATATGCATCAAAGCATAGCCCTCCAGGTTGGATAATCCGACAACTATCCGGATTTTTTCTACACAACAATCTCACGTAGTCACTTAAATCAAGATTAGCGACTTTAGCTTTAGCCACACACCAATAAGGATACCTATCAGCCTGAAAGCCACATTTACAAGAACTTATTAATAAAAGACATGTACAACATCATTCATATTTTTTATTAATAAACTTATAAATCTAATGTAAGTTCTTATACAATCATACAAATTTACAGCAGGTGTAAAATTTTATAGAATTAGGCAAGATGAGTTATGTGGGGATTATGAGATTTTCTTAATGAACAATTAGACTAAAGAATGAGTGCAACGATTCGTTTTTCATAAATTCTTGTTTTGATATATAATATTTTAGCAAGAACACATTACATACCTCGCAAATGTGAGCACAGAGCAGCAACCATAGGCAACAAGCTAGGATGTTTAATTTGGACCGAATTTTGTGTTTTATATTTTTCATTTCTCTCTTTTCTCCCTTTTCGGTTTGTTGTTAATAAGGGCAGAATGAATTGCCCGTCCCTTGTCGGATTTTGTTTTATATCATATATGGGTTAATGAATTCACTTCTTACTTGTTTTATCCTTGTGAAAAATGGGAAAAATGACATAAATGTTTCAAATCTAAAGTTATCTTGAGGCAATGATGTTGGCAAATCTAGTTATGCGGAGTCAATTTTGATTTTGTAGTGCTCCGTTCGATTACTAAGAGATGACTCTTTCCATTTTATTTTGTTTGAGTGCATTGCATTTCATTTCAATTGTTATCTTGAGTGCATTGCATTTTGTAGCTTTACTTTTTCCATTTCATTTTGTTTGAGTGCATTGCATTGCATTCCATTTTATTAAGAGACAACCCTTACTATGGTCTCAACATCGAAAGTCATCAATTACATCGAACCTTCCTCGAGAGAAGTTCATCTGGGAAGATCTTAAGAGTGAATTATGAGTTTAGCTATGTTCGGAGGCACTTCAAGGCACATTGTCAGCTGACCGATGGCATTTCTTGCCTGGCCCACCATCCAAGGGCAAGGGAACTTAATAGCACTTGAAAGAAGAAATTTACCTGAACATTTCATGGAATTAGACTTTTCTTTAGTAATTTGGACTAGCTACGTGATCCTTCTTCTTTGTCGCCAGAAAGTTTTGTTGTAATTATTTTTACCGGAGTAGAATCAAAAGATTCGAACACCGGGTCGTATCTCAAGGAAGGTCAGCCGGATTATATGTACGGATATTCTATCACACGAAAAAAGCAAATAAGTTCCTAAACACTCTAATTCAATGATTTTGGTTTTTAATTATCAACTACTAATTCTCGAACAGCGCAAATAAACAATTATCAAAGCTTAAAACGAGTTCCTTCTACGTACGAAGGCTAGGGAATCGGGGATGATTAAACTCAAATCAAATTCAAATGCCGAGTAGAATACGTTCGGCTAAATGATTCAATTGACTTACACATCTAGAAATTATTCCTCAATAACATCTCGTAACTAGAAGAAAAATATAGACGGCAAATCAACCCAATCAATTAACACGTAGGCAATACAATTACGAACAAGCCTACTCTAGTCGAGCCTAGATCGACCGACTTCTCTCCTTTCGGTTCTACAAGTCGATTAATTGGATCAGAATGGTGATCAAGCATCTAACCCTAGGTTTAAATCAACTCGAATAGATTGAACGAAATTCATAAGCACAATAAGCACACGAGTATGAGTAATCACCCCCTATCCCTAGCTTAAAGATTTAGCCACTCATGCTAAGATGAACACAGAATATTGTATACAGTAAGTATTCCAAACTCATAGTCAACTGAGAAGAAAACTTACGATAGATAAATAAAGAGTGTTAATCTCAAGCACAATCTGAATCCACGATCAAAATCCTTGGGTATCACTCCCAAAAATCTCAAAGATAAAGCAAAGAATAAAGGAACAAGTTTTTGTCTGATGAAAAACGAGAGAAAAGTGAAAGGTGCCGAATGAATCCTAAACCCTATGCTCGATCCTACATAATAGCGAACAATTTCAGCATTCACAAGATCAGACGCCGCGGCGCGAAGCCTGCCGCGGCGCGGCGCGACGGTGGTCACGGCGTGAGGAGAGAAGTGCAGCGGCGTGAAGGGACTGAAGTGCCGCGGCGCGGGGCTCGCCGCGGCGTGGCACCTGGGCTGCTGAACTTCTCTGGCCAGTCGTGGAGGTCGCCGCGAGTTGTGCCGCGGCGTGGGAAGGCGGAAGTTGCCCGGCGTGGGAGTGGCAACGGCGCGGTGACTGAAAAGGGTCGTCTGAAGGCCCGTGAGGAGCTCCGCGTGTGTTGTCGCGCCGTGAAAAGTGAGAAGTGCCGCGCGCGAGGCTCGCCGCGGCGTGGTAACTGGACGAGCTCCATATATACACGTGCTTTGTGAAACCGGGACAACTCAGCTTGGTAACTTCCAACACTTGGTCAAAAATCCGAACCTGCACACCTCCAAGAACAAGAAAATACCCGGAAAACAGAGAAAACCAACAAATATACGAAAGTAACATAATAATAGCAAAAACACGAAATAAACGACTGCAGGACCGAAAATCCTATCAAAAGACCTAAACCGGGGGCTAAAAACCTATAAACCATTAAACAAAAAGATAACAAAAATAGGACAAACAAGTTTCTTCTTGGATGGTAAGTCTGTCTATTTGCTCCTCCAATTCTTGAATACGCTCAAAGTTGGTTTCCCATTGATTGGAGGTTGACAGAAGATTGAGTTCAACCCTTCTCTGTTTAATATTCTTTGAGAATTTTTGAAACTGAGACCTGCCCAAGCTGTGATGAAATCACCGCAAGTTGCCAATTTTGTAGTAATTGGGCATGAAGTATCAGCCATTCTCCGTCCTTCTTCCACAACACTTTCAAAGTTCTCTTCGCTTAACCAACAAGATTCAAATCGAAAGAAAAATTGACCTCTCATTACTGGCATTGCTCTCTCGCCCAACATAATTTCATTATCTAACCCACAACATATTTTTTACATATCTAAACATACTTTATAGTATTTTCATCATATATATTATTGATTTTTTTCTAAAAAAAAAACTTTAGGGGTCCCACGGGCTCCCAGGGCCCGATACAACTCCGTTATTGTAACATACATGTTTTAATGAGATAATTTCTAAATAAGTAACATAAACCAATAATTGTTATTGATTTTTTTGAAACAATCAGGGGGGCCTGGACCCAATACAACTCTGTCATTGTATACATACATGTTTTAGCGAAATAATTTCTGAATAAGTAACATAAACTAATAATTCTGTTTATTTATGCAACATGTTCTGATTTTATAATATTTTAATGCATTAAAGGCACGACCTTAAAAATATTAAATAACAATTTTTTCATGGAATCTGTAATTAATTTTTTATACTAATGAGCACGATCAAGTCATGGAAGACTCAAATCAAAGCAGACCTCCAAATTCGACGCAGTTAAGTCGACAACCTCAGACAGGGTCTGCTCATCAGAGATTGTTCGGAGAAGTAATTTAAAATGACATAATGCAGAATTATGAATATAATATTTGTAATTGTTTATTTACATTGATAAAGTAAATATACAATAAATAAAATTCCACGATTTTGTAAACAGTAAAAACTAATTGGATATTGGTTGAAGCACTATTTATATTAGTTTTTTGAAAAAACAAACTCAAATAATTCATAAAATAAAGTTTTATAAATTTAAAATTGAATAAGTTAGTTAATAATTTAATGAATATGATATATAAAATTCGTGATATTTCTTGAGTTTAAAATAAATCAAAATAATAATTTGTTATATATTTAATATATATTATAGGGGGATGGATCCAATGAGACCACTCCTTAAAATGAGTACGTGAGACTCAATCTTAGCCACTCATTTTGTCTAAATCAAAATCAATTAAAATATACATTAATTAAATAATAAAATAGTTGACCGTTGACTCCGGCGTTGACCGTTGACTTCCGGCGAGAATCGTTGACTTCCGGCGTTGACCCGTTGTATTGAAATAAATAACCTAGCAACAAAAGACACTCAACCTTGAGTGGTGTAGTGGTTGCATTGCTTGTCTTGCCTCCATGAGGTACCAGGTTCAAATCCTATGGGTTACAATTTTTTTATAAAAAAAAAATACAACTAACTTAGCAGCACAACTAACCTAGTAGCAAGAAAGACTAACCTAGTAACACACTAACCTAGTAGCAAGAAAGACTAACCTAGTAACAAAACACGTAACCTAGCAACAAAAGACAACAGACAACTAACCTAGCAGCAAGAAAGAAATAACCTAGCAACAAACACAACTAACCTAGCAACAAAAGACAACAGACAACTAACCTAGCAACAAAAGACAACAGACAACTAACCTAGCAACAAAAGACAACAGACAACTAACCTAGCAGCAAGAAAGAAATAACCTAGCAACAAACACAACTAACCTAGCAACAAAAGACAACAGACAACTAACCTAGCAACAAAAGACAACAGACAACTAACCTAGCAACAAAAGACAACAGACAACTAACCTAGCAGCAAGAAAGAAATAACCTAGCAACAAACACAACTAACCTAGCAACAAAAGACAACAGACAACTAACCTAGCAACAAAAGACAACAGACAACTAACCTAGCAACAAAAGACAACAGACAACTAACCTAGCAGCAAGAAAGAAATAACCTAGCAACAAACACAACTAACCTAGCAACAAAAGACAACAGACAACTAACCTAGCAACAAAAGACAACAGACAACTAACCTAGCAACAAAAGACAACAGACAACTAACCTAGCAGCAAAAGACAACAGACAACTAACCTAGCAGCAAGAAAGAAATAATCTAGCAACAAAATACAACTAACCTAGCAGCATCAGACAACTAACCTAGCAGCAAGAAAGAACTAACCTAGCAACAAAAGACAACTAACCTAGCAACTACAGATAACTAACCTAGCAGCAAGAAAGAAATAACCTAGCAACTTAAGACAACTAACCTAGCAGCATCAAACAACTAGCCTAGCAGTAAGAAAGAAATAACCTAGCAACAAAAGACAACTAACCTAGCAGCAACAAAGAAATAACCTAGCAACAAAAGACAACTAACCTAGCAGCATCAGACAACTAACCTAGCAGCAAGAAAGAACTACCTAGCAACAAAAGACAACTAACCTAGCAGCAAGAAAAAAATAACCTAGCAACAAAACTCAACTAACATAGCAGCTACAAATAACTAACCTAGCAACAGCAAACAACTAACCTAGCAACAAGACACAACTAATATAGCAACAAGACACAACTAACCTAACAAGAAAGAAATAACATAACAAAAGACAAATGGTCAACTGTCAGCATCGGAAGTCAACGCCGGAGTCAACGGTCAACGCCGGAAGTCAACAGTCAACGCCGGAAGTCAACGGTCAACGCCGGAGTCAACGGTCAATGATCATAATAATATTTAAATAATTAAAATTAAAGAATTCAATAATAAAAATAAAAAATTATTATTTAAATCAAGATCTAAATCTTGTGGCTAAGAATGAGTCTCACGTCCTCACTTTAAATAATGGGATGCATTGGAACCAATCCCTATATTATAGACCTAATAAATACCTAGTCGAATTAGGAATGAGGACCTATTTGAATTAGGAATGGTCACGGCCATGCAAAAACGTTATTTAAAGACCTCTACCCGAACGAAGAGGATTTTAGAGAATTGCCCTTTCTTCTTCGTTCAATCCTCCAATCTTCTCCGATAATCAGATAATGTCGATCTCTCTCTACCCGAGCGAAGAGGATTACCTGTACGAGGAAGAAGTTTTACGCAACCCCACTAGCTACAAACTCTGGTGGCGATACCTAATTGCCCTAAGCCAAGCCCCTTTCAAGAAGCGGGCGATCATCTACGAGCGCGCCCTGAGAGCCCTGCCTGGAAGCTACAAGCTCTGGCACGCTTACCTCCGCGAACGCCTCGAATTCGTGAGGAATTTGCCGATTACGCACTCTCAGTACGATGCTCTCAACAACACCTTCGAGCGAGCCCTAGCCACCCTGCACAAGATGCCGCGGATTTGGATATTGTATCTGCAGTCTCTGACCAACCAGAAACTGACCACCAAGACCCGCCGGACTTTCGACCGCGCCCTGTGCGCCCTTCCCGTTACACAGCACGGCCCAATTTGGGAGAATTACTTGGTTTTCGTCTCCCAGAAGGGCATCCCTATCGAGACCTCCTTGAGGGTTTACAGGAGGTACCTGAAGTACGATCCAAGCCATATCGAGGATTTTATCGAGTTTTTGGTCAATTCGGAGTTGTGGCAGGATTCTGCCGAGAAGCTTGCGGAGGTTCTGAATGTTGACCGGTTTTACTCCACCAAGGGGAAGACGAAGCACATGCTATGGTTGGAGTTGTGTGATTTGCTGTCTCAGCATGGGAGCAAGATCTCGGGGTTGAACGTGGATGCTGTAATTCGAGGCGGGTTTCGGAAGTTCATGGATGAGGTTGGTAAGCTATGGACATCTTTAGCTGATTTTTATATCAGGAGAGGTTTATTTGAGAAGGCTCGGGATATATTTGAGGAAGGAATGACGTCTGTGATAACCATGAAGGATTTTGGTGTGATTTTTGATGCATACTTACAGTTTGAGGAGAGTATGCTTTCGATTAAGATGGAGTATTTAGATGACAGTGAGGATGGGGATAGTGTGAATGGAGATGAGGAGGAGGAGGTGGATAGGCTGGATATAAACAAATTGAGTAAGAAAATTGACAAATTTTGGTTGAAGGATGAAAACGATGTGGATTTGAGGTTGGCAAGGTTAGAGTTTTTGATGGATAGAAGGCCAGAGATGGCTAATAGTGTGCTTTTGAGGAATAATCCTCATAATGTAGAGCTATGGCATCGTCGGGTGAAGCTTTTTGAACAGAACCCCACGAAGAAAATTCTGACTTACACTGAGGCTGTGAGGACGGTGGACCCCATGAAGGCTGTTGGGAAACCACATACTCTGTGGGTAGCATTTGCCAAGTTGTACGAGGACCACAAGGATGTTTCGAATGCTCGGGTGATTTTTGACAAGGCCGTGCAGGTTAACTATAAGTCTGTGGACCATCTTGCCAGTCTTTGGTGCGAGTGGACAGAAATGGAGATTAGACACAAAAATTTTAAGGGTGCAATGGAATTGATGCGACGTGCTACTGCAGAGCCGTCAGTTGAGGTCAAGAAGAGAGGTACTTATTCTTACCTGTACAGCTGTACTTTGTGCTCCTTTTAACCTGCGATTTTTTTTTAGAAAATAAAAAAACAAGTTTTGATATTAGTGGGTATAGTTATTTCTCAAGTAGTGGTTTGGCTGCTCAAACTATGAGTATAATGGACTGAGCGAGCATTCCTACTATTTCGACCTCCTGAGAAATTCACAATGTGCACCTTTGGTGATTTGCTTACTCCTGAATCATTGCTTAAGTATAATAGATTTTACCATTTTAATACCAATAATTCAGTAGCATGCGCACAATGAAGAATGTTAAATGTTTTTTGCATTAGTACCACAATCTGAGTTGGTTTGCGACTTGTGTTATTGGTATTTTTTTATATGATGTACATAAGCTTGTATTTGTTGTCAATTGTGAATATCATATAGAAACTTTGTCAAGAGGAACATTTAATCTGTTTGAAGTGTTGTGTTAATATTTTTTCTTCTGAACGTTCTTTGGTATGATGCAGCACTAGATCTTCATTCTACTCATATATGGTTAGCAGTATTTGTGTATGAATTAACAATACCTGGTTTTTCTTTCTAAAAAGTTGGGAACTGATGGCATTGCTGTCTCAATGACCTCTCTGACAAATTAGTTTCTGATGACTTTATTTTGTGCTTCATTTTGGAGTTAGCATGCTTAGAAGTAAGATATTGTGGTTCCAACAAAAGCTGCAAGACATGTCAGGTTTACTTGTATTAAACATCAATTCTACTGAAGTATGATCATGCCATGAAATTTTCTACATAGGTTCATTCTTCTTCAAATTTTCAATTACGCGGTTAAGTTTTTCCCTCTTATCATGCTTGCTCTATTTTGGGGTGTGTGTTACTAATTGATTTTGAAGTTCTTTTCTGCATTAAATCTCACACATTCTTTCTCATATTGTAGTGTTGGCTACCTAAAGCATTTGATAATACCGAGAGATGATCAATATACATTGTGATAAAGGGTTTTCAGAATAGTGACGTATATTGTCTAATCAATGGAGCAAAAGTGTCAGCTCTGTCTTATAGTTATAGGTGTTGTGGGTTAAAATAATTGAGATGAGATTGTGGAGTATCCTTCCTCTTCCAGTTAAGTGATGTGATTAAACTTGAATTTGTACTGTTTGCATTTTCTGCAGTGGCTGCTGGTGGTGATGTACCTGTACAGATGATAGTTCATAAATCCCTTAAGATCTGGACTTTTTATGTTGATTTGGAGGACAACCTGGGCAGCTTGGATTCAACTCGTGCTGTATATGAAAGGATATTGGACTTGAAGATAGCCACACCTCAGATCATAATTAATTATGCTAAGCTTTTAGAGGTAACAAATCCTTATGGACTTGTGGTAGTATTATTCCCTCCTCTACCCTACTTTCTCCAAATATGATTTGACAGTGGAATAACTATCTTTTTCCTTTGGTTGTGCAGGATAACAAATATTTTGAAGATGCATTTAAAGTTTATGAGAGAGGGACGTGTATATTCAAATACCCACATGTCAAATATATCTGGGACACTTATTTAACAAAACTTGTCGAGAGATACGCAAAGTCAAAACTGGATCGTGTTCGGGAGGTTTTCAGAGTTGCAGTTCAAAAGGTGTGATTATCTGTATACTATTTTCTTAAATAAGTATTATTTGTTAGGAACTTCTATAATGTGGCGGTTATTTCTTATAATTGGATGAAACTTAATTTGAAGGATCCAAACATCTTGGGGACATTCATGGCTTTATCATCTCTTTATGATTGTTTTAATACTTCGAGATTATATTCTTGTGATAAACCATGTTTTGTCATTGTAAGTCATAAGTGTGTTGTTGCGTTTAATGCATGTTATAAATTGATATACTTCTATGTATATATTGATTTTTCAATTCTCTTAGTGATTCAGACTGATATTATAATAACACAAGATTTAAGAAGTTATTGTGATGTTTCTGTGTTTTAGAAGCGAAAAAAATAAACAAAAAAAATCCTGAACTTGCTGCACGATGACCTCAGACTTATCAAGTGAGTGTGGCAAATAGTTAGCTTTTTCCAATTTTTTTTCTCTTTATATTTCAGACTAGTGCTTCTGTAAGACATTAGACATCTGCCTATCAGCTTTAAGTCTTTGCATTATATGAAGTAGCATTAATATTAAGCATAATCATGCATTACACCTTTCTCTATGAAGTCACTGTTCATTAGGGTCACTTGGAATTTATTCATATGAAGATACTGACTTGATTTACTTGTNCCCCTGCAGAATTTGTGAAACCTATCTATCTTCAGTATGCAAAGCTGGAGGAAGACTTTGGTCTAGATAAAAATGCCATGGGAATATATGACAAGGCGACAAAAGCTGTGCCGAATAAAGAAAAGTTGGAGGTGTACGAAAAATACATTGCCCGGGCCACTAAAATATTCGGCGTTCCAAAAACTAAGGAGATTTACGAGCAAGCTATACATTCTGGCCTGCCGAAAGAGGTTGTGAAGGTCATGTGTCTGAGATATGCTGACGATGAAAAGAGCCGTGGTGAAATTAACCGAAGTCGTGCACTATATAACCATGCCTCCAACTATGTTGATCCAATAACCGATTCCGACTTCTGGAGCAGATGGCATGAGTTTGAAGTGCAGCATGGAAATGAAGATACTTTCAGAGAGATGCTCCGAACGAAAAGAACTCTTTCAGCCAGTCGCAGCCAAGTAAGAGTTTTGACTAGTTTTGCTTATTCAGATTTTTATTTTAAGGAGTGGATACTGATAGTGCTAGGGGTTCTGTCTAATCATAACAAGGATAAAAAAGGAAGGAAATAGAAATATATATATATATATATATATATATACATATATATATTCTTCAAAATCACAAGCACCAGACTGTCGTTCAAAAAATACAAATCTCAAAGATAGTTTGTAATATGTGGAGGATAGATATATCTACTACTGAAAGAATAATGGAAATTTTTAATCAGACAAAACTTAAATAGTAGTTTATATAATTAATGTGTTATGTTTAATCTGTGTATTCTCCTCCTGTGATCTTTTCCCGGTTAATGGTTGCTAACACGTTTCTTTTCCAGATACACTCCATCCTTCCCGAGTATTTAATGCAAAAGGATCAACTGCAGCCTTTGGAAGAAGATAAAGACGTGCTGAAGATGGCAAACGACACCAGTCGAAGGTTAGGGTTTGTGAGTGCTGGTGTGCAGAATGCACGGGAGACCCGAACAACCAATCAAGAGGATATTGAGCTACCGGACTATAGTGACTCAGAAAATGACTTTGATATTGCTCAGAAAGATGTGCCCAGTGCTGTATTTGGAGACTTGGCTCGAAAGAGGAACGAGCTGGATGATGGTGATGATGATGCCAAAGGCGGTGCTTCACAAAACAAAGACAATGGTGGCCATCTTGGTGCCCTTGAAAGAATCAAGAGAAGACGAGGCGCGTGATAAATGGTAGAGTTTCATTTGCTTATTTTTGTTAAACTAGGAAGTTGCACATGATTTGTAATTATTTAACGATGAAATTTTAATAGAATTATAGAAAGCAGTACGTGGAGAAATTGCAAATTTAAAATGGAAATAAATTAATTAGTTCTTGTCATTTTTAATGGTTTTCAACAATGATATCTTCTTGGAAGTTTATTTTTTTCTTCAAAGCTATCTTTTTCCTCATGATCCTAATCGTCGTCTCATCATCATAACTTGAAATAACGATGTCATCATCCTCCTTCATAGAACTCTTTCTCAGTCTTTTTCCTTTGTTTGCATCCAGTTTCGAAGATGAATGAGAATTTGCGGAAGTATCATTGTGGATGGGATTATATCATTTGAGAATGATCAATCTTTTTTTAACAATTTTTCTTCATCTTCTTCCGCTCTTTCTATTGCATCAGCTACTAAATTGAGACTTCATTTTTTTATGTTCTGCTTCTAAATTTATACTTACAGTTTTTCTTCATCTTCTTCCGCTCTTTCTATTGCATCAGCTACTATATTCATCTTCTGAGCATTTGAGGATTTTTATGCACTCTAGTAAATGCTCTTGTTCAGTTTCCGATTTTCCATTCAAGGGGTTGCTATTGGATTTGAGTACATTAACCATGTTGTATCTTCTATTGTTTTTCCCGTCTGTATTTCCGTTCTATGGTGAATGGTGCTTGTCGCATTTGGGGAAATCTCTCAAGCAATTATGAATTCATGATAGTGAGATTTGCCTCAATATCTTATATTCTGAATTTTGTGATCGCTTGTAAAACTCTTGTGCAGATAGGATACTTTACATCGTTTTCCGAGTATGCATATACATTTAAGGGGGAAAAAAAGCTGTGTATGCCTGCCTATAGATGACTAGTTCAGTATTAGGGAATTTTGGAGTAATTATTTTTCTTACATGCTATATGCTTTGCCATTGCTATAAACTCAACAACCATATTTTTTTTTGCTTACTTGGGTTGTTTAGGGCTCTGTGAGATGTCCCTTTTAGTCTTACTTGTGAAAGTCTGTACGGCTAGTTAGTTTGGTTGGATTTGTACAGTTTTCCTTGAGTAAAAAAAAGTAAAACTTGTTTCTAGTTTCTACGAAACAGGTCCGAACAAGAGGCGAGAACGGTGGCTATGTGGGACCTAGCCCGGATTCCAAAGATTTTTATCAAATCCAATTAAACTTCGGAAAAAAATATGTGAATCTACCAATAAATTAATTAAATACTCCTAACAAGGGAAGAAAGAACACGTCACCCACATGCTGGGTGGTCTTAGTTGGCTATCAATCCCAGTAGATGGAGCCTGCAGCGGACACGTGTACGTTGGCAGATTATTCAGGTACAAATATTATTCAGCCAGCACGAAAATCCTTTTTATTGCCAGATCCCAAACTTGATTTTTATTTTTTAAAATTAGTTATTAATTATATGTGCGACTTTTAATATCAGAAAATTATTTTTTTTTTTTCTTTTAGTGATTTATTAATATATTTCAATAAGTACTCTGGAGTCTGGACTTCGCGTGTCAATGTGTCATCAGTTCAAACAGTCTCAAGGTTAATATATATTTAAATAAATTATATTAAAGACGAGGTGTCATTATTTTTTGGTCCGTATAACTTTTACAGATATAGAATTGACTCGTATTTATCATTAGACGTTTAAGTGCTTCATGAATTGACCGCCGATATTGTTGTTAGAGTTTGTTTTTGCAAAATTAATGGGTATTGGAGTCTCTTTATTAGTTTATAAATCAAAATAAAAATTCAAAAACCAAAAGATAAAAATCAAATTCAATCATTTACTCGCATAGTCGCGTTTATTATGTAAATAACTAAATATAAGGAAACTTTATCAACGGAACTATTTTCAAACTAAAATGCAAACAATATGTTATTTGGGGTAAAAGTAATTAAAACGTGAGTTGCTCACAAAAAAATTTAAGGTGTTGGTTGTTCACTACAAAATTAAACAAGAGTAACTTCGAATTTCGGGGTATTTTTCCTTTCTCCAAATTTAGAATTAGCTCAATCATTTTTTTAATAAATAATAATTATACTAGTACGACACCCGTATACTACACGGGTTGTTTAAAAAAAATATAAAACATAAAATAATAGAAAAAACACATATATTGTTGTATAACTATTTCAACCCTTTAAAATATATTATACAGATCATATAATATTCTATAACTATTTCAATGTATTTTTATAGATATTCTAAAAATATTTAAATAATTTATTTATGGTTAGATTGAAAAGATATAATATGCAAGTGGCTATATATTTTTTTGTAAAATTATAGTATTTTTCTTAAATTAAACTATATAAAAAAGTTATTGTTTACATTAATTATATAAATAAAATAATATATAAAGCTAATCTATTTTTTTTATTTTGGTTTACACGACAAGATAAGAATCCTAAGATGTAATGTTCTTTATACGATAAGAATTTGGAGTTGGAGGATTTACACGGCATCTAAGAATCCTATTTAATGAGGGAATGTATTCTATTTTAAACAATTAGGGAATGTATTCGAACCAAAAGCCGAAGCATGTATTTTTATTTTAAACAATTAGGGAATATATCCGAACCAAAAGCCAAAGCATGTAATATTGCCAAGTAAGCTTCCGAAGCGTGCGAAGCAGCCATTTAGGCTCAGCACGTTTTCAAATTATATTAAGAGGGGATTATAAAATATCATACTTTAATTTATATTTAAATAATATCTATATAATAAAAAAAATATTGTTAGAATATCACTTATGAGTTGTCCCACATCGTTCATACATAGAAAATAGACTCACCTTATAAGTCTAATGGGATGCTCCTCATTTCATTAATTAGTTTTGGGATGAAACTCCACTTGGACTTCATATGGACTTTTCCCCTTTCATGGTGCGCTTCATGATAGTGGGCCCGCACCCATTTCCTCCAGTTTCTGTCAATCTTAACTAGTAAAAAAACATATTTCTATTATATATTTTTAATAAAACTATGTATCAAAATATATAACATGCCTACGAATTTACATAAAAATATGAAAATATGGAAAATTTGGTAAAAAAAATTTCAATTGTAAGTTAAATGTTGAATAATGGAAAGGACGCATTACATAAAACTAGTATGTTTCCGTGCGATGCACGATGGGCGCATAACTTAAAACATATTGAAGTACTTATTTTAAATATAAATAATTAAATTTAACATCTAATTATGGAAACAAAACTAAATATAAAAAAGAAATCATATATTATTAAAAACTTTTCTGTAGACAACATTATTTGTTTGATTTGGGGGCAAATCATGTTCACCACATATTAGAATTTTCAGACCCTTTCTGTTGGTGACGCGCGAAACAGCAACATATAACTGAACATGACTGAAAATTGGTTTCTTCAAGAATAAACCAACGTGTGATAAGCATTGACCCTGTCTCTTGTTAATAGTCATTGCATAAGAGACCACGATAGGGAACTGCCTTCGTTGAAACTTAAAAGGTACTCTTGCATCCGAAGGAGTTATCGTCATTCGAGGTATCAACACTTTATCCCCTGCATGGTCGCCCGAAAGTATCCTACATTCTAGGACATGATTGGAGAGTCTTGTTACAACCAAACGTGTCCCGTTACACAATCCCATAGAATGATCTATGTTCCACAATAGCATAACCGGAGTTCCGACCTTCAAATGAAACTCGTGATTTGGTGTACCAGAACATTTGAGAGAATTTAAGAACTCAGGAGTGTGGATTTCTGACAGGAAGTCAGAATTCAAATCGGATTTACACGTACTATCAGAGCTCAAATATACACGACCTTCTGTTAAATTCAACGACGACATGTATTGGTTGATAGACTCAACGATCTCCAACGTAGGTGCAAAAATGGCTCTGTCCTTCAGATAACTTGGATCATCTGTTGCATTCTTGAACAATGGATACGTGCTTTCAACAATTGCAGCAATGAGATCATCAGATGGGTCTATTAATAGATCATCTGGTATTTCAATGGAGGTACAACCATCGTTAACACCTCCAATAGTACCATCTCCGATGCTAGCAATCCAATCAGCAAATTTAGAAAACTCCTCATGTTCATCCGAATCATCAAGGCTCTGAAGACGCATGTTCTTCATCAGCCTAAGCACAGTACAGTCTTGCCAAATGGTTGAAGCATTTATTGAAGCATTAACAATCTGTTGACGGTTCCCCTTTGGAATCACCGGGAGGATTTGTCGAAAATCTCTGCCAAAAACAACAGTCTTGCCACCAAATGGTTTATAATTGTTGTTCGGATTGACCGTTCCCATGATCGCCTGAAATGACGTTTGAACAGCTTCGAAGCAATGCTTATGTATCATTGGAGCTTCGTCCCATATGATGAGGGAGGACTGTATAATTAGCTCTGCCAGAGGGCTAGCCTGGTTGATATCATAGGATGCATTTTCGTGAAGATTAATAGGTATGCCAAAGCGAGAGTGTGTAGTTCTTCCACCTGGCAACAGAAGAGAAGCTATACCACTCGATGCAACACAAAGCACGATCTGACCCTTCGATCGTAACCCCGCAGCTAAAGTCCTCCACAAGTACGTCTTACCGGTTCCGCCATAACCGTAGACAAAGAAAACACCACCCTGACCTGAGTCTACCGCTGCCATAGTTTGTGAATAAACTCCTTCTTGTTCGTCAGTCATATTTCTAAGAAGATTGATGTGCTCGACTGATAAGGCCTTGCGGTCATAATTTAGCTCATCCAAAATCAATCGATTTGTATTCGTAGTAACACCGGTCATATCAGGAAAAGGCATTGTTGGATATTCCCGAAGACTCGTGCCGCGACGTTTCAACAAATGTTCAATTTCAGCGAGAGCTAAATTTTTTATATCTACATCACTCAGTTGCAAACCTAAGAAGGAAAAAAATTCAAAGTCAGAATTTTATAAAAATCAACTATAGTACTTAAAAAGGAAATGAAAAATAATAGAATAAAAAATAAAACATAAATAAAAAATAAGTCACATACTTTCATTATTGAAGAGAAGACGTTGTCTATAAACGATGTCATCAGAGAGAAAATCCAAATACTTTTTCCGTATGTGCTCGGGTCTACCTAACGATCCAGAAACCAACAACGTTGCAAACATGCGTCTGAGAGAATCAGCAGATGCCCATTGACTTGCCTCAGATATGCCATCAACGTACTCACGATCGCCACCCAACAAACCTAGAGCGTGGCAAGCATCACGATACGACAAATATTGAACGTTGGCTATCTTCATATAATCCTCGTGGCAAGTTGCTCCACGGATTACATTTACCAAGCACCTCAAATAGAAATTATTGCCCGCGTTAGGAGGAACATAGCGCAGGCGGGCTATAGCGCCATCTCTAATTCGAGGGGTCCACTCTCTCAACGTCGGGTTCCAAACAAATTTCCTTGGTGCCTCAACATATGTGAGCTCCCTCGCCTGAGGATACTTCTTGTTCGCTTCCATCCAATGCCAAAAATTGACTCTCATTTACAGTGGGTTTTTGAATAACCTCATCAATCCGATCTTCATCCTTAAAAATAACATATTGTTCGCCTTTCAAATGGAAGCTCAAACGTTGTACAGAAGGTTTTTTGTACTGAAGTTCATAACCCAACAACCTCCAAGCCGACTCACATGAAGAAACATATCTACAGTCGTAGAACATGTTAATCTCGTCAACAGGATTTTCTGGCTCTCCGTCTCCGGTCGCCTGATAAAACGATGCGGTGACACAATCATTGTCCTTATTGACATATTTGAAGAGGTACTTGATGGACCGGGACTGATTGCACCACTCAACATTTATGTGAGCACCATATTTCATCAACAATTTACGATTGTGGGGCACGACAAAACCGTTATGGACAACTACACCATTTTTCTCCATATGTCTTCCATTGTCCCGACGCCTGTACCGCGGATAGCCATCATCAATGACAGTTGTGAATTCAAGAAATGGTTTTGGAAAACGTTTACTGCATTTCCCATCAACCATGCACAAAGATTTCTTTCTGGCCAATCCACACGGGCCGTGGATCATGTGTTCCTTTACAGCTTCATAATAAGATGGATCAGAAGACTCATCAGGTATCTCAGCAGAGATAATTCTATCTATGTCCGAAGGATCGGGAAACTTGTTTTCCTTTGCTAAAAAAAGAAGTATATGGGCATGAGGCAATCCGCGTTTTTGAAATTCAACAGTGTATACAACTGAAAACAAAAAAGAATAGAATGTCAAACAATTATGAATATATCTATAAAAGAATTCAAATGAAATTAAATTTTGGAAAAGAATGATCATACCTGCTATTTCTTTACCAAATATTTGTTTCTCACGAAAATCCCGTATCAACTGCTTTAATTTTGATCTAAAAACTCTGCAAACGATATCGGGACGATCCTCAGGACGTAAGTTCTTTGGGCCTAAAAAGCGAAGGATCTCCGGCCACTTTGGGTTGCATGTGAATGTTATAAACAAATCGAGATAACCTGCCCATCTGCATATTGCCATTGCATCCTGATAGTTCTGAATCATATTCCGAGCACCACCAGTGAAAGACGATGGTAGAATTATTCTCTTTCCTCTAGATCCTAGATCGATATCACCACGAAGAACAACATCTGCTAACCCATTGTACACGTCACATCGTAGGCGAGTTTGATTGTAACGGATATATCTCAATCTCGATGATTCAACCATGGTATATGCATCAACGACAAATTGTTGAAACAGTCTCCTGGCCGAAAGAATAGTAGATGGTTCGTGCTCCCTATCGTGGACCCGATAAGCAAAATATTCCCGGATACTCACAGTTTTTCGACCATCCTCTTTTATTTCTCTCAGATCAGAAAATGGGATGTCTTCTCTGTACCCATCCTCCCCATAGGGCAACAATAGGGGATATTGTAAAGCCAAATAAGAAGCATTAAGTTCATTGATTCTCCGTAAGCGTCCACTTTTGGTCTCAACCAATATATCCCTTTCACCCATTGCTTGATCAAAATCTCCAACGACCAAGGCAGCAACTTCAGAACTTGTAGGCAAGTTATAACATCTACCATCACTATATCTCCTCCCAATTAGACGAATCTTGACATCACTTTGGCCGTGTTGTTGAATTCTTTCCCTAGCCATACGAAACGACTTAACCAGTTGATTGTGCTCGTCCAACATTATTGTCAAGCGAGCAACAATTTCCTCATGCAAATCAGAAATACCGTCAGAGGTCCTATAAGAAAGAAATAAATTAAATTCATAATCAGATATCCACAAATATGTGACGAAAAAAAATATTGAGCAGACTATAGACTAAAAATTAAAAAATTATAAATAACCTAATAATCTGTTACGCAAATTACTAACCTGACTGCGTTCATTCTATTGGATAATTCATTATCCGTATCATAGATATAAAGCTGCTCAAATTTTGGAGTTGCACCTTCGGATGGAAGTAGACTACCAATCAGATGATAGTTTTGGCCGTGTAGAGTGAATACCGTAGGACCTGTACCATTGTTCATCCCCGCATCAATCTTCCCGCCCAAAGAAGTAAAGCCAAACATACTGTTATAAGATCTAATATTCTCCTGAGAGTGTTTGCTATTGCGGCTATCTCCGTGTAAAAGCTCATTTAAATATGCAGGTGGATTATGCAGTACAGACAATTGTACCGCCCCGTTCATACAACAACCCTTATATTCAGGAAGAGTTGTTGCCTTTTTAGAAGGCTTTCGCTCAACATACCAAAACAGTGCTCCGCAATAAATACATTGACAGCTAGCATCACCCATGTCCCAGTATTCTACAAAATGTAAATTTTAAGAAAAGATATTAAATTGCAACAAATGAGCTAAAAAAACAAATATAATATTTTATTAATGTAAACCATACCGGATTGAGACGATGTGGATCCAACAATCTTCTTCGGTCTACCACGTTTTCGTTTGGGAACGGGAAAGGGGACAACAGCATTCACGGTGTGATCAACTACATCATTGAAATCAGTTTGCAAAGAACTCAATAGTAAAAAAATATATTAAATTAAAACAAATGAACTAAAAAAAAAAAAAACAAAGATAATGTTTTATTAACATAAAATATACCGGATTGGATCAATGTTGATCCAACAATCTTCTTCGATATTAACATAAAACATACCGCACCCATTTCATCCAGTTTCTGTCAATCTTAACTAGTAAAAAAACATATTTCTATTATATATTTTTAATAAAACTATGCATCAAAATATATAACATGCCTACGAATTTACATAAAAATATGAAAATATGGAAAATTTGGTAAATAAAATTTCAATTGTAAGTTAAATGTTGAATAATGGAAAGGACGCATTACATAAAATTTGAATTTACATAAAAATATGAAAATATGAAAAATTTGGTAAATAAAATTTCAATTGTAAGTTAAATATAATGGAAAGGACGCATTACATAAAATTTGTCACCATCCTCTTTTCACATTAATACTGGACTTTAATAATAGGAATTACAAACAATATTATTCATATAGACACGTGTGGAATGACGTGGGTTGTTGCCTTCCCCTTCCCCCTCTTTCTTCCTCTTTTCTCTGATTTCTCTCTCACAATAAACTACCCTGAGAGGCACCTCTGCATAGACTAGAAAAAATAAATGCATCGAATTTAGGGTTCCCGTTTGACATTCCTAATTAGGCTTTCTAATTTAAATTTTTCAAGGTATGTTAACTTACNATTTACAGGAATTTGAGGATTCTTTTTTTGTTTTTTTTTTAAAAAAGAAGTTAATCTTTTTCAATTTCTCTGCTTCAAATTCCTACACTTCATGTTTTTGTTGAGTTCGGAATTTTAGGTGCTTGACAAGGATAATATTGTCATTACCTAATTTGTGTTGGATTTAAACAGTAGATTAGCAGTAATGCAGTGGCTGCTTGGGAGGGAATTGAAGGACGATATTACCCTTATGCTTATTGTCCTGTTTGGAGCTACACCCAACGGATTTAGTCATTTCACTTTATCATCTCTGATCAGATTTCATGTTTAAGTTTGGGGTTCTTTTTTTTTCATGAGTGAATCAGAGAATAACCTTATTACAATATTTCATATCTCAATTCCATTTCATGTTAATTTTGTAGTAATTTTTTTTGTTATGATGACTGAAGAGGATTGATCTGTAAGAGCATAAATAATAATAATAATAATAATAATAATAATAATAATAATAATAATAATAATTTTACATGTAACTGCAACTATGTTGGAAAATCAGTTTGAAGGAAAGGTTGTTAACCCTAATTACGCTATATAAATTACATATTTTATGTCTAAATATTAGTTCGTGTGGAATTAAATGGTTTGAAAGTGTTGTACGTTCCGGGTTGATACTCGTGGTATATTTATTCTCTCACATCCGATTATCATTCACGTTATTAGTGAGAAATAAATATTTAATAAGTCATTTAAGGAGTATTAAAACGTTGGTTGGTTATGGAAAATCTGAATTGTCGAAGAGACCTTTATGTAGAACTCTAAAGAGCTCAATTCTTATGTAAATCTGCCTAACTGTTATGTGAGTCGATCTGTCATTCTTTTTCAACAAAAATGTGTACTTACACAATGGATTGTCGTACTTTTGTTTGTGATGTATTTTAGAGTATGACATTCAATTTGAATGTATATATATTTGTTCAAAAAGTATGATTGCCTAACGGGTAGGCCTGCTAAGCAGCCTTACTGTAGTCAAAAGAGAGTTGAGAGTATTGGCAGTTTGTAGTGTGTATTCATCTTGCTGAAAGAGATTATCGTGCCTCTGCTTGACCTCTTCCCGCTACATAAGTTTATTTTATTTGTAATTCCTTGTCAAAACTGAAACATTGCTTCAGTAATTGTTTCATTTGTAAAAAAATTATAAGTGGGCACATGTGAGTGTTTTCTTCCATGAGTTACAAAGTATTAATCCAGAAAGCTAAATGAATGCAAAGATACTTGTCAAGTTTATTAAATTATTTTCCACATTTTTACTTCATCTAGGGTTGTTATATTGATATTGAACCCATTTTATGTTTCAAGTATCACAAATCATTTATGTCGATTTATTATTGATATTCGCAGCACATCAGAATCCAATATGTGGGCTGAATTATTTGGGTAATGAGGAAGCTTTAGCCATCTAAATCCCGTCTGAACTCTAACATTGTTGAAATGTTATATTTTCTTATATATGGATGCTTTTGTTTTGGCAGAAATATTGATACTTGGCATTTCCTTTTTGCTGTCATTCAGCAAAAGGTCCTGAAAATATCATGGGAACCAGTAAAGAAGTGAAGCCTTCCAAACCAGAAAAATCGTCTTCATCTGCAACCGTGAGCACTAAGCAATTAGCACACCTTAAAATCCAAAATACAATACTTTCCATATAATAACTTTTTTTTTTTACTTCTAAATTTTCAATACGGGATTTTACTTGGCAGGATCATAATAACAACATCCACGTGTATCCTGACTGGGCCGCAATGCAGGTGATCTCAATCAGCCCTTTGCCAGTTTCTATCTCTCTAGCAAAACCTTACATGTAAATTCAAGATGAATTTTATAATAATACTTAAATATGATTCTTTATCCTTCAGGCTTACTATGGTCCCCGATTTGCTGTACCACAATATATGAACCCAACAATTGCTTCACCTCATGCCCTTCCTCCTTATATGTGGGCTCCACCTCAGGTGCCAAACCGATTTTTCATGCTGCAAATCTTGTCAGTTTAATTTTTTTTCTGTAAATAAGTGAAAGAATAACACATAGCTTATTTTCTTTCTGTTTTCTACTTTAAGTCGATGATGCCTCCTTATGCTGCATTCTATGCTCACGGAGGAATTTATGCACATCCTGGAGTTCCTCTGGTAAGAATTCTCACATATGTCTTAAAAATTATTTTAATTATTATTGTTTTTTTTTTTTTTTTTCTTTT